AAAGGTTAGTAACATTCAAAACCAGCGTATAAGATTAGTATTGATTGATATCTGACAGTGATTAAAATCACTGTTGTATAACGATTAAACTTTTTAAGCAAAATATCTTTTTATTAATTATAAATAAAAATATTAATTTTTGTAAATGAATTAGTGAATAAAAAAAACCGATACAGTGGTGTTGCGGCACAGTGGTGACATACCATAGTTGGATCAAGTATAATGATATCTGTCAGTGATTAAAATCACTACCAAGAATAAAAACGCTTCGATGCAAATCTTTAGATAGTGTTTAATTTTAAAAAATTGATGGATTATTCCAAATGCTACATGATCTGCTAGTTTCTTATTAATATCCTGATTAAGATAAAGTATGTCGAATGAAAAAGGGATTATTCAAAAATATTAATTCTCATAAAAAAATTGTGTTGATCCATACATTTTTCAAAAAGTTATAACATTTTAAAGTTAAAAATGTAAAATATAAAATCGAAAATTTTAATACAAAATAGCATACGGCAGCCATTTATTTTCACCGTGTTGACAAAATAAAGTTTGAAATTTTTTTTCCCCATATTAATGTATATTACATTAGCTTTAATTTAAGATATATATTAAAGTGTCAGTATTTCCGGAATACTTTCAAAAGTTAAGTTAAAAAAGTTTATTATTTGTGGAAAAGTTGTCATTTTGAATCCCCCCTGGGGGCTGGTAAAGGGTTAAATTTATAAAAAAAATATACCGAATGATAGGTAATGACATCAAGCATCTATAAAAAAAGAAATTATATTGTTTTGTTCATTTTTGAAAATGTTATAGCAGTTTTAAGTAAAAAAAATTGAAAAAATTTCGAAAATTAGCGATTTTTAAATTTGTAATTTTTTTGGAGGTTTCCCCCATTTACGGGTAATGGGGAAAATGTTTTCAATTTTTGAAGGTAATGTCTTTGACTAGATACGACGAATTATTAAATAAAATTTTAAAACCCATTGCGGATCTTGTCGTGTTATACACCCAAAGAAAAACCTCAATCAATTTTGATAGAGAAATTTTATCAAGGGTTTATGATAATGTTTTATTAATACGAACAAAATAATTATTCTTATGAATAATTATTGTTCAAGACAAGAAAAAAAATTATCATATTGATAAATACATCGTAGATTCAATAGTAATGAGATATTTATCAAATTGAACAATGAATTTATTATATAGATCGAGGTTTTTCTTTGGGTGTACTACATTATTAATGCTGTTTTCAGTATTAGAAAATGTCTCTTAGACAGCACTGCTGATTAACGTCCAGTTAAAACATTTATTACAATTATTTTTATTTAATATATGAATAATAAAGTTTGTATTTTTTTTAAATTTTATTTAAATATTAGTTTAATTAGGAACATACAAACTGATACGAAAACACATATATTTAACATAAACTACGAACTGAAAGCTAACCATTAAACAATTAAGCTACCCGTCTTATGTAGTAATATAGGAACGCACCCGCTATAATTGTAATTTATCTTTTGATGGTCATCTAGTGTTCGTAATAATTACATTGCCTGCCAGATTGACATTTTATTATTCACTGTCTCATTGAGTGAATTTCATTATTTTATTCCTGATTTTATAAATTAAATATATTATTTTTTTAACGGTGCTTATGACTATTTGTATTCAACCGAAATCAAAGAGTTATATATTGTTATAAATAAAGTATTATTTAAATATATAAGTTTATATATATTTCTATTTTAACAAAGTTGGTATTCAACGATTTTCATAACCTTCATGTAATCAACAGAGATCAAGATAATTGACTTTTTTTGTATTCCTTTAATCCTTTGCATCTGTACTCGTAAAAATATATATCAACCGAAAACAAAATGGTTCTATTTATTATTTTATTTAATTTAACTAGTTCCTAAATTGACTATTGTCATAGGTAATATGTATTCATTGTAGATCTTATTAAAATTAAACGGAATTATATGATTACTTAAGAAAAATGATGTTATGTTTTCATATTATTAGTGGTATAAATTAAGTAATATAAATTCATATAGAAAATATATCATAAAACGTTTTAAGCTCAAACAATAATAATTTATTTTTTGTCATATTCAAATGGGACGGAGGGTTTTTGATACTTGAGCCTCTCGAATTTTACTAATGCCGGTGCTACTGTATTAGTTTTAATTTGCTGTACATTTAAAAAAGACAAGTTTTTTGGAACATTATTAAAAATTGAAAAGAAAAAATTTTATTATGACTTTTAAGCACCCTATTAATTTGGATAATGATTAGATTTTCAATAAAAATTTTTATCGGCGTGGTTAATGTCTGAAGTATTATGAATAAAAATTTCGTGATAGTTCGTCTAGTTTCCATAAAGTTATTTCAATATAAATTGAAAATAAATATTAAACTGTCAAGTAGTTTAAAATTGCGAATGTATCGACGTCATTATAGAGGTCAATATTAAAAATTTAATGCGCATTTAAATTTGTATATTTTTAAACACATTTTAAATAAATATTTTTGAAATGAAAATGAATTCTTATTTGAATATTTCAACAATTTGCTAGAACGCAATATTTTAAGGTATTCAGAAATAGGTTATTTTTGCTTTCTTATTTTTTACAAAAATTAACTGAATCAAAATAGTTTGAAATTTCAATAATTAAACACATTTTATTATAGATATTATTTAGTAGCTTTTGTATTTTTAAATTGTTATTCAATTTTATAATATCTAGTTCAAAAAATACTTTTAAATTATTGCTATTTATGTTGACATTATATTTCACTTTACTCAAATGTAACTTATATTTTAAGTTTCTTCATATTTGTTATTTGTTTTCCTTTCAAAATGTTAACATACGTAAGGTATTTTTACCAATCGCCTTTACAAGTGCTCACCTAAATCAAAAATAGTTTGTTTAGTACATTACATAGAAGACTATTTACTTTAATTATAATAATTTATAGTGTACAAGTATTTTGTTTTCATTTATTAATAATATAATATATTGCCCAATAAAATTCAAACTATATTTGTAAAATATATAAATCATTTAAAGAAAAAATAGGATTATTTTAGCGCGACAGCACGATGCCTGGACCATGAACTTTCCTTGACCAGCATCCATAATTACCTAACTAAATATTTTTAATATTGATAAATTTCAATTTGATGATTATATTTTAAAACATTAAATTGACGAAAAAAAATTAAAGAAGTTTGAATTTAAAAAACTAGAAAAAAACTTTTTCATTAAAAAGACTAAATCAAATCTTGTTACTATTGCCTCATCGGTAAAATATATGTGTTGTTATTTTTACTAATCAAATTGGCCTCATATTAAAACTAAGACTTCAAAAAAACAATTGCATGATGTTTACTGCAAGGAAGCTATCCTCTTTGACTCAACCAATTGTCACGGCTCTACTTTGGTACCAGCTAAAAAAATTCGTCTACAGAAACCCAACAAACCCACACTAAAATAAGAATTAACTAAGGATAATCTAGGAACTTAAGCATAAAATCACAAATTTTCTACTAAAATAGTCCAATTTATAGTTTTTAGCATAGTAACATAATTTTCGAATCTTTTAATTAAAATTTGATTAATATAATATATAACATAATTGTTTTAAAATTTTACAAATGAGTGTATGTTTATAGTAAGAAATTTTATTTATAATTAATAAAAGATATTCTGCTTAAAAATTTTGATTTTGAATATCCAATAAATTTATTTAGACAGTTAAAATGTTTATGATAAGGTATTTTATTTATTTACCTCAGTAAATAAAAAAATTATAACTAATCCTATAGAATATTATTAAATTACCAGTAATTATTAATAATAGAATAAAAAACAAATTGTACTTAATAATTTCGATTAAAGAATATTATACATGAATAAGAGAAGGAATAAAAGATCTTCGAAATGTATATGGTAACCCTCTTAATTTTATATTTATAAGAAAACTGTTGAAAATTCGAATTAATATATATTTTTACTAGCCGCTCATCTCAATACTTTTATCCTCCGCTTTCATCAATTAACACAAAACTACTTTGGTACCAGCTAAAAAAATTCGTCTACAAAAACCCAAAATAGCAGACAANCAGCTAAAAAAATTCGTCTACAGAAACCCAAAATAGCAGACAACTTTATCCAACGGAAACTGAAGTACTAATTAATCACTGGTGAAATTATTAACCTAATTCATTGCGAATAAAAATTAGAGCTGACACGTATCGACCAATCGATAAATATCATGTTTAATTGTTATTAAACACATACATGTCCTAGTATTAATGATGTATAAATATTTTTTCCAATTAAAGTATTTTATCTGTACTCATCAGATTACAAAAAGAAAAACATTCTGACGACTTATCTTTTATAAGTAATCCACAAGTTGAAAATTATGTAATTTTTAGTGAATATGATAGATTTATTAATAGGTACTAATAATTTAGATTTATTTTGATTCCAGATAAAATTAATCAAAATCTCTTTATGAGACTATCGGTCAATAAGGCATAAAATCACAAATTTTCTGCTAAAATAGTCCGATTTGAAGTAATATAATACTCGAATAGATTGATTAAAATTTGATTATTATAATATCAAACACATTGTTTTTTCAAATAAAAAATTAATTCAATTAATATTACTTTGAATTTAATTATGATTGCAATGTGTGATCAATAATTATAAGACAGTTTAGTGTAATAAATTTTTAGTATGTACAAAAACAGATCAATAATATTTTTATTTTCAAATTATTTTCATTCAGTTCGTAAATATTATTGCAATAGTATAAATGTGTCACGTCGTATTTTATTGATTAATTGCTTTATTTTTGGTCCGAAAAGTTTTCAAAAACACCACAGTTCTGACTCACAGGCTCGTCTTGGTAAAAAATATTTATCGAGTACATCTAAATTTGGAGTCACCAAAACAAATATTTTTGACACAGATTCCGATGAATTTGTCAGTATAAAAGACGAACTGGCTATCGTTAGAATCAAATCGTGTTCACTTCGATCCATTGGAAGTCAGCAGTAAATTCAAATAGACTTAAACTATCAAAAAAAGTATTCGACATTTGAATAAAATGGCTCATTTTAAAAGCGCAGTTGTATTGTGTTCGGTGTACTTCATTGCTGGTGCTTTGGTAAGTGATTCTTGTTGTCGACATTACAGATAATAAAATACTAAAATTGATTATATTTGTAGGGTCTATTGAAAACGGAAGATAAAACTAAGTGTGTCGATATCATGAATACTATGCAGAAAATATCACCTGAGGTAACTTGAAAAATTAAACATTTCCTAAAAGTTTAGTAATTCATATTTTTTTTATTCAGGGCAAGAATATTGTAAAAGCCTTATTAAATCATGACCAAGATGGAAATGGTAATTTTGACAAAAGTGAAATCGATGCAGTTTGTGATAACGATTTAAAAGGATATCCAGATATAAGTAAAATCAAGGCAACATTGAATAAAAAGTTGGAAACACAAAATATGCTTACATGCAATGAAGTGTTAAATGAATTCACAGAATAGTCAACGTCATAAATGTCGAGCGAATGCTCAACGGTAATAAATTATAGCGTCTTAGTGTTGTAAATATTAATTACTTTTGAAAACTGTCAGTTATTGTCCAGTGATTTTGCTCATTGGTTTTACTTGCATGGCCATCCTAATATTTATGTGTTTTTTGTTTTCATTTCAGGCGGTCGTTCAATTTTCGAAGACCTACACGAAATACTTTTTATTAATTTAACTAAATTTAACTAAATTTGATGTTTTATTTTTTCGCACCTATTGTAATATACAACACATTTATGAATGCATATATATATATTTGAGTTATTTTTACAAAATCAATAGACTTTGATTCCCTGGTTGCCTAAACATCTATATTGTCCATAATGTACAGAGACTACTTTATCAGACTTCTCTAATAGAGAAAGGTAAAACGTAAAATTGTAGTATTTTGTGATCAACGACCAAAGAACAATAAGATAAATGATCAGGTTCTAAGCGTTCGTGTTCACAGATAGTCTGATATTATAATTTTAATATTAAATATTATTGTTATAAAAAATTTAAATCATTATTATGATAATTCTAAATTTTAGGAAATTAAACTCATAAATTTTTTATTTTTCTTGAGATTTTTTCAATGAAGTTGAAGTCAAATATTTATAAATGTGATATAAATATTTTGGATGAAGTCATAGAAAAAAAAAATTAAATTTTAAATAACTCAACAATTATATTGAATATAATAAAAATTGGGTAAATAATGATATTCTTTTAATACAGTACAATACAATGTACAATACAGTACATGTACAATACAATACATGTGGCTAATTGTTTTATCATGACATCGATATTACTATCGATATATGGTAGTAAGGTACAATGTTGTGAGTTTATAAATACATAAACTGACAATACAAAATGTTTATCTATTGATAGTAATAATTGATAATAAACAATCCGTGACTGTGATAGCAATATCATAAAAAACCAATAATCTACCTGTATTTGTAATCCCTTGTTTATTATACCTATATATTAGCTCAAAAATTTGAAACTTATTCTTATATTAGTATAACGATTACTTTAACCATGTTATATAACAAATAAAATAGTTAAAATAAACACGCTTTTAAAGCACATCGAACTAAAACGTTAAAAATAATTTTTAAGATAATTATGAACAAAAAATACTACTATTTTTGTGATAAAAGCGTCGGGAATTCAATATACGAAAAATATGCCACAAAACACCCACGCTTTTATCAGAATAATACTAGTATTTTTCGTTCATTATTGTTTTAAGCTTATTTTAAAAATTATTTTTAACTTTTTAGTTCGATGTGCTTTAAAAGCATAATACACAAAGGATTACAAATACATGTAGCTAATTGGTTTATCATGACATCGATATTACTATCGATATATGGTAGTAAGGTACATTGTTACAAAGAATAATGATTAACTTAAAAAGTATTTTATAGCTAATAATTAANATGACATCGATATTACTATCGATATATGGTAGTAAGGTACATTGTTACAAAGAATAATGATTAACTTAAAAAGTATTTTATACCTAATAATTAAAGAAGAAGTGTAACTAAAGATAACCCCAAAAAATGTATAATCATATTTATTCTGTCAGTTTGTAACGCTATTACAAATAGAAATTCATTAAATGTTGTAAAAAAATAACTTTTTTCTTTATTTATGTTATTTAATTAATCAAAATTTACTTTATTGTTTAGTAATTTTTTAAATTATTGTTTGAGTATAAACATAAATGGTGTATTATACAATTATTTTTTGGTTGTTCACACCGAGAAGTTTAATATAATATTGATACTAAAAATTACTAGAAATATCATAAAAAACCAATTAGCTACCTACATTTATAATCCCTTGTGTATTATACCTGTATATTAGCTCAAAAATTTGAAACTTTTAGTGTTTATATCTAACAAACAAATAAAGTTATATTAAAAATTCAAATGCTATCTAATATTAAATTAAAAACTCAAACATTTTATTAAATTCAAAATATGTGTTCCCATTTAAAAAAACAAAGTTGACATTCTTACAAGGCATAAGGGATGAACTTAAAGAGTATTACACAGTTAATAATCCAAGAAAAATGTGTAATTAAAGATAATAATAAAAAAAAAATGTTTAAATTATTATTATTATGTAAGCAATTTAGTGGGTTATGATAAAAAAATCACTATGTATATAGTGTAATTTTTTAAGATTTGTACCCCCATTTTTTATTAAATAAAGATATTTTCATAAAAATGTTCAAATTAAAATTCGATTTGATTTTATAAGCCGTAGTAAATATCAATTTTATTGTAAAAAAAGCTTATTTATAAGAGTAGATTTTAAGGGTAACACTCAAAAGTTAAATAAGAACCTATTTTTTTTTATCAATAGATAAAGAACTGTCTAAATCAAATGTTGACTGGTTTATAACCAGTTATTGATTTTTGGGTTAATGTAATTTTTATATAATTTTTTTTATAAAAATTATTATTATATTATTATTATTTACTCGTTTTGGTAAAAAATATTTATTAACAGACACAAAAAAAAAAAAATAAACACATCTTAGTAAAACCAATACCTTCTCAGCTTCGCATCGAAGCTAATAAAATTATCAGTTGACGAACATGATTTTTTAATAATTATTATTTAAATGAATTTATCTAAATAATATGTTTGTAACACAAAAATAATAATAACAAAAACATCAATTCCTATTATGGGATCTGATGTGCACATTTAATTTTAAAAACACATGTATTTTTTAGTTGAAATGAATACTTAAAAGTATACAAATATTAAACATTATTCTGATTAAATTATTGTCTAACTGGTTAATATTTACCAAGAAAAATCTACATTGAGGGATATCACATTAAGATAAATATGTTTTCATGTATTTATGTAATTTAGTTGTGTTACGGGCTTATTTAATAAATTTTGGTCAAAACCAAGAATCGAAAGCTACCCGACGTCTGCCCAAATATCGTCCCTATCTCCTTAAATGAGTTTTAATTACCTGAAGAAGACACAGGCAATCGTGTACCTTAGTTACAGGGAATAAATTATCAAATAAAATTAGACTATTGTTTTATATCAAGACAAAGTAAAGTTACATTCTAGATATTCAGTCAATATAAGTTATATGTAATTTACAATACGTCTGATCTGAATCCTAGTACAGTTGGTTAGCAGGTATATCCAAGTGAGACGGAGTTGGTTGGCTATGATGATAATTGGCGATAGACGGGTCGTTGAATAAAACAAGTTAAGTTATAAATAATATAAATAAGACGTAAGTAATAATATTGAAAACTATGTCTATAACGGCCACTCAAACACAACTACCCTTTGTTAGTTTGACGTCAGTAGCTCCGGGCTACAGACGAGTAGAATTGTCACAGCAACATTTCACTCTATGCCAATTAATAAGTATTACGAATTAAGTAAATGGAAATAAAACATGTGTAATATAAGTAGTAAGAATGTTCTTACATTACCCTCTCCCCTATTAAAGGTTGGACTCTGAACCTTATAAAAGGTCAAAATATTAAGAGAAAGGGAAAAGAAAAGAAAAAAAATTGTCTAATAATGCTTTTTAAGCTTTAAAGTTATGGTTCTCTTTAAAATTAGGGATGGGAACCTTGTTGTGTTCACGAAACTTCTTGTAATCTTGTATCTTAATGCGTTTTTAAATTGTTGTTTTCTTACGTAATTAGTTGTGGTATTCGTTTTAATTGAATGTGTACGATATTTATTGTATTTATTATAAATGTCTCCTACGACATTGTCTGTTGTTCTCGAAGTTCGTTACCACTACAAGATTTTTGCTTTTATTTACATTTCATAAGGTAAATTTATATGTTAGTGTTGAGTTACAAAGTTAGACTTATGATTATGCATTGCGATTGAATAGAAATAAATATATACATTTTTAATATGTTTAAGTATATACTACAATCAAAATTTATTCAAGTTAACCTAATTTATGGAATAAAAACGATGCAAAAATTTTACAAATTTACAATTTGCTATCTTACTGCTACCTAGACAATGCATAATAACTTATATAAAAAATAAAAATTGTGATAACGAAACTATTTTATAGTTATCATACAATATTAAAATATTCATGTATTTAAATAATACTTATTATACCTAGTCTACTAGTCCAATTGTACAAAACGTCAAAATCAGAATCGGGTTTCGATACGCCGAATAAAAAATAAACAATTAGTCAATGACAAAAAGTTGTAAATTGATGTTGCTAATCTTGCGCTGAATAGTCAATGACAGTTAGTTTCAATATATATTATCTAGTAATAATGTTATTACATTATAATTTAATGTGTACTGAAATAATAAAAATGAAAATTATTAGACAGTTTGCCGTGAAAACGGAAATTTTGTTTAAAGTTGTTAATGTTTCCACCAGTCAATGCCTGTAACATATCTAAAAATTAATTTTCATTTTATTTAACCAACCTTAATTAATTCATGCATCACATTGACTTATATTAAACTGTATATTTGATTAATATGATCAGAAAAATGAACAAAAACTATTATATCAATTGCTATTCAGTTATCGTAAAAATTTTAAAATGGTCATCTTGAGTTTTGTGTTATATCGACTTATGTAAGTATATTATTTAAGTTCATTTATAAATAACGTTTTTTTTGTTCAACTTAAAATACAGTATGGTTTTATAGCTGTAGTTTGATTTGTTAAATAGTAAAACTTTTATCCTTATTAAGTAATAATATTGTTTTTAAAGTCGTATTGAACGAGCTGTAATTCATGTTTTCTCTTTTTTTTTTTAATAGACCAATCATCAGACGATGCTGAAAAAAAAATCGTCGGACACGTTGGAATAAAATACAAATCAATTATAACAATAATGCTTATAGCAATAATAATTAAATTTTCAATAAATATTCTTTTTTTTAATAACGTATTCATAATTAGATTAATAATAAACTGTTAATCGGACTTATAAAAAACTATTGTAATAATCATCATCAGACAGTGCCGGAAAAACCTTTGGTCGCTGCTAGAATAAAATACAAATCAAATATAATAAAAAATGTTATGGTTATAATAATTAGACTAAATTATAGCAGCTTTTATTTGACTTCCAAAACTATACCATTTTTTTTTTAATAAACGTAATAAATAATAAAATTAATAATCATCATCATTCAGAATGATGGAAAAATCTGAAATGCTTATAGGCAGAAAATATGTGAATACGCCTCTGCACG